CCTATTGCGCAATTTAACTCCATTTTGAGAGAGACAAGGCTCTAGTATAGGAAATAGGGATTTCTTTGGAATGTCTTGAAACATGTTTTCAAAATTTATTGTTGCTAGTGAACCAATATTGATAATGTAATTGGAATTACGGTAAATTTGTTCGTGTGTCTCTGACGGATCGAAAAGGTGTAATAGTGGTGATAAATTGAAGCAAATTCATTTTCGTTCAAATAGAGAACCTTTTCTTACCTCAGTCCCCTTCAAGCATGACCTATATCTATAAAATCTGCATAACTATACTTTCTCCAGAATTGCTTTATCCCTTAAAATGTAAAGATAAAAGGGAGTGAGGCATATTTTGATATATTTCGCTGATTGATTTTTAAGGAAAAGGATTTAGTATTTATCTACCCTTACCTAGATTCTTAAATTTGATGGATAAATTTACGCTTCTTAAATCATAATTTATTCAGTAAACGGTAAAGTAATAACTTCTCTTCAATTTTATCACGGCCTTTATTGATCACGTTAACAATATAGCTACTGTAAATTAGTTAATTGAATCTTAATTTTGAAAGCTATACTTAATTAGTGATACCGTCGTGAAATTGCTGTATGAATGGCACATGAAGATGAATATAATTAAAACGTAATTCAATAAAAAGTGCGAGAAGTTCTCTAAAAAGTAAAATTTAAAAGTATTCATATTACATGACTAATCGTGAATTGGTGAACAACATATTGGAGAAATTAATTGCCCACTGCTACAGTTCGGGTCCCTGGACCGTACTACGGTAAAGAGGGACATTTTGAAAAGAGAAATCGGGGTTAATTACGTAAACCCCATATAATATTTTTATTAGAAATCGTTTTTACTGTCCATTACTTCGGATTGAATTGTATATAGATACAGTTTTACGAATGAGCATAAAACATTTATAGCCACCATATTTTTATTATTGATGCAAATGATAAAATCCGCTCACTTTTATAACACACCTACGCCCTCAAAGCGTAGTGCCAGAAGCATGGATTTAGTTTATCAATCGCACAGAACCGATCTTCAGTATGTAACGAGTGGTTTTATTTCGCGCCGAATTTCATTAAAAAATTCGAAATTTCTTGTCATGATAGTGCAGGTCACCCTGTATATTTCATTATTTGTTCCGGTTAGAAAGTTTGTGATCATTTATGTTTGGGCATTTCGGTTCGCTCAAGACTATGGTACGATAGATTTAATCACGCTCAAATTTAATTTCGTCGTGGGAAGATTGCAATGTTGATTGACGTCATCATGAGTAATGCGAGTTTTTGTCGTTCGTTCCGAGAATAGGAGCGGATATAGCACCCAACCAACCAGGGATCAGGGGTCTTCATTCGTCAGCAGAAAACCGTGAGATTCGCTTACGCAGCAGTTTCGTGGAGGCTGATGACGAAGCTAAAGTGGTTTAAGTTTTTTTTATCTAAACCAATGGGAGAATTTCTAGTGGGAGCCATTTTTTGTTTTATGGTAATTTGGGTGTGGTTTTCTCATTTGAATTCTGAAGAAGGGGATAGTTTTGAAAAGACTCGCGGTTAGTACGTAAAAGGGTCAACACGTACCCTGAGCGATCGTTTTGGAGCACTTAGCGTTTTGAGCCGACGGATGATTTCGGTTGTTCCCATTTTGCGTGCTTCTTGCACCCCGTTTAGAAGTGTTATTCTCTTTTTGCGTTGAATTTTTTGGCAACGAAAACCCAGGTTCCGATCAAGTGATATTTAGGCGAACCACTTGAGCTTCACACCAATTTACTTTGGATGCAGTGAATAGCGTTAGGATACGTTGTGATTTCCCGAGGATATATAAATCAAAGTGCTGCCCTATTCATCAAGGCGCAGATATTCGGGATCAGCCCCAGGTGGAATTTCCTGCCGTCGGAACGTGACCATAAAAAATTGTGTTCTGCCGTGCCGCTAACTTAAAAATCCGTCTCCAGCAGGCGAGTCAAAGTCAATAAACTCTAAGAGCCGGTGGAAAGAAATAGTAGGGGTCACTGTGTTAAATTAAATACCCCTGCTGTGTAGAAACTTTGGCAACTAGCCGTTTCCCACTCACCACGCGAAGAATTTCCTGGACTAAGATTCCGTTTAAATACTACACTTTGCTTTCGTTCCGAGGAAGGATAGGCACCGTGGATTTTGTTTCCGTGTGTTAACTTCAAGCAACCCCCTAGGAAGTCACAGAGACCTAAGCGTCAGGTTTCACCACACCCACCCTGTACCAGTGGAAAGAGCAGTTCACGAGATCGGCTGTACAAATATTGTAAAGGTTAGTCTAATTAAATTTGTAACGTTCTGTAAAAGACCACTTTTTGGTAATCTAGCTGTAGTAAAACTTGATGTTATTGTCTATTAAAGTCCAATGAACGATTACCAAAGAGTAGGATAAATTCTGTGTTTATTTAAATAAGGAAGTCCCAGCTCACGCTGGAGTAAAAACAATTACCTATTCTTAAAATTTTCAAACTGTAGAGGATGGCCTGGCCACCCCTTGAGTAAATTAGTCTAAACTGGTACGATTTTATTTAGTTTAGTTGTCATTGTTAAGCTACATTTTTATGAGTAGGAGAGAAGAACTGCTAGATCCCGGTATTTTGTTTGTATATATAAATAATGTAAATATATTATCTACTTAGCTCCAATGTGCCTATTTCTTTGACGGAGAACTAGGGGAAAGAAGAGAGGAGTAGGAGTTGCGTCAAGAGACTGGTAGGCGGCAGGTTAAAGTTGGTACACAGTTTCTAAAGAGTTAAAAGCCCACCGATTTGAGTTAGCCGGAGCATTTAATTTTTTGTTTGTAAGCAGCCTGAAAAGAAAACGGTTTGCCTTGCCGGGCGGAACCGATGGTAATTTTCAAGATCAGAAGGAACCCCCGTAGCAAGTAAATTCGCCTCGGGAAATTTACTTTCGACGCCATAGCGAAAAAATTTCCCGAAAAATCATTTTATTTTCCATACTCTTTCAAATTACTGCAACTGTTGATTCGTAAAAGCAAGCAAACAATTAAAAAAATATGAAAAATATCCATTCATTTTCGGTTGCAACCCATGTTTTCGTACATTTTAAAATAACCAATTCAAATCTTGTAACTACTGTAAGGAGAGCATTACGTTTTTTCCGCAGAAATAAGTAAATTAGAATTTTAAAGCTGTAAAAATATGTCAAGGTTTTGAACTGTCTTCTCAGACAATACTGGTCATGATGATGTAAATTTAGGTGATTATCAACGAAATATGTTTCAGATCTACGTATTAATTTTGAATGGGCAAAAGTTCTCTAAATTGCTTTTGCCGTCAAGATTGCGGGTGTACAGATCAAAATTCAGTATATATAGATGGGACAAAGTCAACGTGCAAACTTTTGAATCAGCTTGTTTTGGGAGTGGGATTGATTAACGACCTTTAGAACCATCTAGGATTGGTAGTAAGAAAGACACTAACTAATAAAATATTTAGACATCGCCATTTTGAAGATATATGAATTTGATCATGTTGTATAAAAGATTATCACTGTTTTTTTTGGAAACCTTTATGTATTGCTCTTCTAGCCATAAAAATAGTCACGTCAATCATTGCAGGTAGCCGCCCACTGCAAAACTAGTCGTCTGTGAGGTTAATTATCATTATCATATTTTCATCCATCTAGCCCTTGCATAAGATCTGCAGTGGGCAGCTGCCTGCGAATGTTTTTCTACTAGAAGACGCCAACGTATCGATATATGATACATGGGCGGCCATAACTATATTACTGGATAGTTATCTTTCTTTCATTGTAATATTTTAAGCACCTAGGAATAAACGACTCTAAAAGAGTATAAATTGAGCATATACCGTGTGTAGAAAAAAAACGCATTTTAGTACCTAAGTAACAGTGCGACTTATCGAGAGCTTTCCAATAAGCGGAGCATGGCGTCTCAACAGTTAGGTACTACTCTTTTATAAAAATTTGCCACAGTTTGACGGTTACCTTCGTTTTGTCAGGGAATTCAAGTACTACCTTCACGCGCATTTTACTAACGTATAATCTTTTGTTCCCAACAAGTCTGCACTTTTATTTGTTTTGGTGCATATTGACCTCTCACTCAGCGGCATACATTTTTAACCAAAGAGTTCCCACATAACTAAAGATACTCTTTCCTGTATAGGGACCGTTTTGGCATTATGTCAAGAGATAGAATGGTCAGTTTCTGTCCTTGCACTCTTGAGAACGCTGGCACGAAACTCAAATCAACAATTCAGTTAGGAAAGAAGGTCGAGTCAATACTGGAAATATAGTAAATAGCGAGTTATTAGCATAAAAATAATGTCAACAAAACCGGAAAATAGGACATATAGATTTTCGTGTTCGCACTTCCGATTGTGTTAATGGAGTAAACAAAAGGCCATTGGATAAAGCTTACGTATTATTAGATAAATTTGTTGTAAAACACACCAAGAATTTAGCTTATTATCGGTGGTATTTCCGCGGCACGCAACCAATTAGAGGTAAAATGTTTGACAAAAAAAAACAATAAATGCGCAAAAATTTTTGCGTTATAATTTATTAGGCTCGCACACAACGGAAGTTTGAATTGGTAGAGAAGCTTTCTAATCTAGACCGACGTGAAACTTTCCAAAGTTGCTGGGATAAAATTTTCCAAACGTTAAAGAATGTCTTTTCGCAAAGTAATTATTCAAGAACTGAAGAAAAATGGCCAAGAAACTTAATATGAAATTCGTAACCTATCGATTTAATTCACCTACTAAATTTTATTTTGTATTTAATTAAAATAACTTCCGTATCACATTTATGTCGCGCTTTAAATTTGGGTCATCGTAAGCAGGATTTATTAGGATCTATACGCAACAATTTGCATCTGTCGTTCTCAATAAGTCGGTTAAAAAATGTTTAATTCGAAAAAAACATGCGACAAACTTGTGTGGGTATTAACTTCTGTAAAAATTAGAAATCTTAGGAGAAAATTCAATTACCTTGTACGAGGGGCTTACTTCCAATCTAAAACGGATTTAATAACATAAAAAAAATGTTCATTCAAAAGTGAGAAACACGTCTCGAAAAATTAAAAGCGCGTACACGTGGTGCCAGCACCCAAAGCGTCGCAACGTCCGAGACGGACTGTTTTACTTTTACAACATTTGGAGACGCTCCTATGCAAGCGTAACTTTGGCGTCGACGGGCGTCGGCGTCGCATAATCGCGCAAGCGTTTTTAATCTTAAACACCTGAAATTGCAGAAACTTAAACTTCTCACGGGTTTCTACCGATTAATCCTATAATTATTATAAATGTTCGCCTCCGTTTACATATAGATTACTTTTCCGATAAAGGAAAATTTGTTGTCATTACTACGTTTGTAGCCCGTAATTTTGAGGCTGTTATCGTTACACGAACTTTCATAGTATAAATTGGGGTGTCACGTCGGAATCATGTTGATTTAAAGATCCTTTACCAACAAATTTTATCATGCATATCACATTTATCGATCGGAAAATTACGATAATTGTACAATAAAATAATAACAGCAATTTATGTTATTGCGCCATAAAGAAAACAAAGGAGAAGGAAAACCTTCTGCAAAATTCTGCTGAAAAATGTGTTATGTACTAATAATAGGGGTGCTTAATGAGGGGGACATAAATCAGATTAAAACCGAAATAGAAAATGGAATGTTTATGTATAAAAGGGGTGCTAATTTGAATGTCAAGGTCACGACTAAGAGATCGCTCTTTTGTTATACGTATTCAACAATGACCATATTCTTTTACTTACGTCTAATGGGTTCAGAAAAAAACAGGCTGTATCAGATAACCCAAAGTGCTTCATTTTGTTGTCTACATCCCTTTTGTTATAATTCGGAAAGAAGTGAAAGCGCAATGAATAAGTGCTACTTATAGGTAGATTGAATGTAATAAGAATTTATGGAAGTGTTTCTGTAACAAATAATTATCCTGTTATTGTAAGCTTTCCGCAAATTTTCAAGGTACCAATCAGACGGATAAAATTACATCGAACTATGGAAAATAAAATTCCAATATAGCTTTTGACGTAGGTTCAGTGTTTCTGAATGCCCCGCTAACTTTTCGACAGTAAACGAGATGAATGTGTTCTAAAATACACAGAAGTAAAAGAATCAATTGGATTAGGTAACAGTAGGTAGGTACTTTACTAATGAAATGGGAAAGTTGAATATATTATCCTCACGACCAAACATCGCGACATATTTTATGATTGACAGAATCGATTGCAATTGATTTCGTGGGTGTGCTATACAATTAGCGCAAACAAAAAATGTTCGAGTTTGAATACCCTAGTGTATTTGGCTAAAAAGCACAATAGAGAGGTTTTATGTCGATTAGTTGCCGCTGCGGCACTATTATGTCACATTGTAGGTATTTCGACGATATTCGTATACGCCGATCATTTCTATTTGTCACTAAAAGTTTACGATCTTTAAGTCGTAAACACAATTGTTGAAAGCGCAGATGTAGGTACAGGTAATTAACTTTAACAATGTCATAAAGAGTAAATCTAGTAGGTATTATAGACGTATAGCCTAATTATGCTTATCTGCATCCTATTGCATTGCATCACGCTATAGTGGCGAATTAGTGCATACTAGGTACACATTACGCCTTTACGCATTAACTTAGGGGAGGTGGTGGAAAAAAATTATTCATATATTTTTTTTAATTCACACATTTAGTGGACCAAACTGGTATAGAGCATATTTTTTGCTACATCGTGTAGTCAACCCTTTGATTTAGATGTAGAGGACTCGTAATGTCTGAGTTTGTACCCGTCGTGGTACCATACCAATTTAGGTGAGGGTAAGCATAATGTAAAGAATGTAATTACACTATGGTATAAGTACAAAGTGACTCAACAAATATGTATTCAAAAAATTTGCCAAATTCTTGACAGAAAAGCTCCCCACCTCAGACCCAAAATCGCTCTTCGCCGTTTAACGTCTTTGCGCTGTTTTTTGTTTACTTTTGTTTGTGTTTATTACTAATACTTATTAATAATAATTATTCATTTATTATCTAAAGTCAGTAAACACAAAGCTCCTTATACAATTCAATCGGCTGCACGTAAGAATAAGAATGACATTTTACAGCTTGTCCCTTAAGTAGAGAGTACGACACCCTGTCACCCTCATTAAGTTGTCAATTACCTTCTTTTTTTGTCGACGGCCTGGTAGCAGATGTTATTATAGGTGGGTCAGGTTGTACTTTTCTTTAGGTACAGTATTAATATTAGCTCAATGTATACACAGATATTTTAACAGAGATTGATATTTTACGGAATTTTTATCTTAAGGTCTTAGAATGCAACGACCAAACTTCTGCAATCGCTCATCCTAAATAATAAACGAGCAGTAAGCTGCTATAGATAGTTTTGTAAGTTTGACATTTTTTCTCTGCTTTTTTTATAATAAATAATAAATATAGCATAATTTTCTTGTACACAAAAAGAAAGTCTTTCGAATAATTTAATTGTTATTTGAAAAAAAAGTTGTATGACGTGAAGGCGCAAAAAACATATATATTAAAAAAAGTTTTTGACAATTTTACATCATTTATAATGCCTAATGTATTTTGACATTTTGACATTTTTTTCTCAGTTTTTTTTGTAATAAAACCTGGCAAAATATTTGTAGGTTGTGCACAGAAAAATAAGGTCTTTCGAATAACTTAATAAAAATTTTAGGTTGCTGTCGTTATTTTTCGTTTCAATATGCCTAATAGCGTTGGGCAAAAAAATCGATTAATCGATTATAATCAAACGATAATCGATAATCGGGTTTGATTATTCTATTAAATTAATCGATTAATCGATTATTTGATTAATCGATTATTTGATTCATCGATTATTTGATTAATCGGTTATTTGATTAATCGATTGTTTGATTAATCGATTATTTGATTAATCGGTTATTTGATTAATCGATTGTTTGATTAATCAATTAACGTCACTTTAAGCAGCTAAAATGAATTAAGATTGTATCATCAAAACTAAAGCACACCTCATCGGAGAGTAAGCTGCCTAATCATTTATTTTTATTTATTTATTTTTATTTTTGACCTTCATTTTCAAATGGGCAGGGTTTCAGTCAAGGCTGTTCTACCAACCAACCAACCCACTATGCATTTGCAAATATCCATGCCCGAACCCGGATTCGAACCAGGGACACTTTGTTGATTATTGATTAATCGATCTGCCTAGTAATGAACGATTTGATGAGTAATGGAATTATTTTTTATTTTTATTATTAAATAATTAACGTATTAATGCATACAAACAGATATTTATCACTCCTTGTATGTGACAATCGACTTTTGATTAAACGATTAGGTGATTAATCGATGATTTGATTAATCGATATTTGATTAATCGATTATTTGATTAAACGATTATTAATCGATTATTTGATTAATCGATTATTTGATTAATCGATTAATCAGTGTAATCGATTATTTTTCATAATCGATTATCGATTATTCAAACCCGTAATCGCCCAGCCCTAATGCCTAATATACATATCAAAAATTTGAACAAAATCCCGTTACCTCGGAAAATTGCCAGCGTACGCACGTACAAACATACAATAATAATAACGCACGTACGAACGTACGCACATACATACAGACGGAAAAAAATTTTATTCTTTAAAAGTTGCTTAAAATGATCTAAAAGGTAGACATTTGATGAAATTTTATTATTTCCGAAAAACGGTGATCGCAATAGCCACCTAGCTAACGCTAGGAAGCTAAAAATAGAAAATTATACGACAATAAATGTTTTAAAATCTGTTCTTCAAGACTCAAACGCCCAAAAACCCCAAAATAGTTGGAAAAAATGGCGTATTTTCGAGGGCTGTGAGCCCGCACAGGTCTTTCGATGTTGAAAACTTGGATTTTTCACATCCATATTCATCCTAACATTTAAAAGAAAAAATAGAGATACTTATCATATGTGATGAACGGATCTTCCCATTTTATTCTCTAATTTGACTGTACTTTAAAGTACGGTTTTTTGGTCGAATTTTGGAATCCTGAATCACCCTGCAAAAGTTAGCAACTATTTATTGTAATACGATCAAGATGTGTATTTAGTAAACTACATTCAAAATGAAGAGGTTTTTTAGAGCATTTGGCGATACCCTTTACATTGATTTTTCGCTGAACTATTTCATGATTTATTTATTTATTTATTATTATTTATTTATTATTTCTCTCTTGTTCTGAGCCCTCAACAGGCTTGCGCCCAATTACAGAGTGACCCTCATAATGCTTTTTAGAGGTGCCTCTGCAGAAGGTCTTAAGTTGTTCTATACTACTCCGGTATTTACCTTACGAACCAGGAAATCGGCAGGAAAACCTAATTCGGAGTTACCGGCAGAATGCTCGAAACTGGTCTAAGAAAATTCCCATCTCTGTCACAGATGAAAAATTCTTACCTCAGCCCAGGTTCGAACGAACACCCGGCCTCCGAATTTATAGCCCAACGCTCTACCATTGAACCACAAAATCGGTAAATGGTATGACTTATCAGGAACTTTAGAACTGTTGATGATCCTTTGCTCTAAAAACTACACTGACACTGACGCAATGGGAGCTACGGGTAGTGCCTCCAAATCTTAAAAATCGATTTCTTAAATGTCGCAACTCTTTCTAAGATTTACCAAGAACTTTATGGGAAGTCTCCACAATTACAAAATTATATAAATGAGGGTATTGAATTAAATTTAATATGGTTCTAGCTACACAGGTACAACTTTCTTTTGATTGCCATCATTCTGTTACAACAAAGGAATTGGAATACTGCGGTCTTGAATCCCAGTCACCGACTTCTCTTTTGTGTACCACAAAACCACTTGTTTTATGGTCCATGGCCCATGGGCATTGTATTTATAACTAATTCAATGTGTGGGGTTTAGAGAAAGATTAACCAATTCTTCCACTTTTATTAGTTTTGAACGCACTCCAAAGGGATCTTATTGATTAATAGTTTCGACCTCTCAGTGGTCTACATTCAAAGGGGCCATTTTAAGAACAAATTGGCAAAACAAGTGGTATTTTAAAACATAGTAAGGCCGTTATCATTAAAATTCAAAATTGAGAGTAGGTGGACCTTCCCAGTTGTGGTTTTAATTTAACTTTCACTTCTTTAACTGTATTGATGCATTGAGTAAGTACACCCACGTAGTTTTTTATGCTTCATGTTCAAATCTAATTTATTCTTCGTGCAACTAGGTATAGACTTTCCAACCCCAAACGAGTGAGTTGCAAAGAATGAGTAGACCATGAAAGGGGGTAATGTAGTGTGTGTCCCAAATGAATCAGTGTTTCTAGAAATCTGTACGCCAAAAATTAAACAAGTTAAAAAAGTAATCGTAAACGATTTACAAAAAGCGCATATTCACTTGCATTCATTTCCCATTTGTAAAAGGCTACCAAAATTTGAAACTCGCGTTAGATTTTCCTTTATTCCAAGTGCCTATATGTATCAAATTTCATTTAAATGCTTCCATAAATAAAAAAAAATGCAATTCGGTTTATAAATGATCGAGATGCGACTTTGAATTTTGAATCGATTCGACTAAACTTTACGGTATTGTGTATTATATGGCTAATATGGCCCATATTGAATTTCATGCAATTCAGTTCTTAACTAAAGGGATCGCGCATTTCTAAACAAAGTTATCGTTCACACAGACAAATAGATGGACAGACATACAAAGGAACAGACGGGCAGACCAACAGACAGACGACAGACAGCAATACAAAATTATAAACGATCTTTAGGATCGTTAATAAACGGCAAAAGTGTAAAATTATGGAACATGTAAAAATGGTTTTTTTACAATAACTTTTTTAGCAATACACGCAGAAAAAATTCCTTTCTTGGTACAAGCCTCGACACCATAACGGACCAAATAGCGAAAAAAGCAGAACAATAGCTCTTAAGATAAAGAACTAGTAGCGTCCCAACGGATGGGCAGAGGGACAGGCCGACGGACGGACGGACAAAGTGGCCACAATAGCGCATTTTTTTTTAATTTTTGTGGGCTAAAAATGGCATGTGTACATAATAACTAAGACAGGGCAAAAATGAATAATTAAACATTTTCCTTGATGGCCAATGGCTTTCCTGCTCCTAATAAACTCATACTATACAGCACTTACAGTTTTAATTAAACAACGTTTTCGAAACAATTAGGAAATCTATATAAAGATCTTTCATTTCAACATTACGTCAGATATTATTTTCTATTTTTATGTTGCAGGCAATCGTCAAGAATTTCACCAGTGACGCCATCTGAGCAATTTATTGTGAGACAGAACCACCTTAAGAATGTTGGCTATTTTCACAACTTGGCAATCTTGGCAACGTTGCACGACCAGCTGAGATCTTTGGAAATTTTTATACAATGGAATGGCAAAACTCAGAAACTTGGACAACAAACATTTCCCAACTTTCCACGATTTGCAAATAACGAAAAATATTTCTCTTTTTTAACTTAAAGGCATGGGTAAGAAACTATCTACAAACAATTATTTCAATTTTTTTACAACCTACTAGTTTGTTTCTTGTTTTTTTGATCGACGTTTAGAGGTTAATTATCATAGTTTACATCTATTTTATTATTTCGCTCCTAGTTTCCCCCTTTTCAATATTTTAGTTTGACTTATTATGCCACAAGTCTGAAATGACGACGACCTTTTATTATTCCAGACAAATATTTACATCAATGAGAGTATTTTCTTGGGATGACTTTGGATTCGATTTGAATGCCAAGGAGGATAAGCTTGTAAGCAAAACGGGAGAATTATCGTTTAAATTAGAAGGAGGTGGAGGTGACAGTCACACCAATGTTATTTGGGTTCAAAACCCACTAACAAAATTGATCAACACGGAAACTTGTTCGGATATGCCTGCGGCTACTATAGGTAGCTCCCAACATCCTAGTAATGAAGAGTGTGGGATAAGGGATGTTTGGGCACATAATTTGGAAGAGGAATTTCGGACTATTAGACAAGTAATGCGATCACTGATGTGTAAATTGTTCTAATAAAGTCTCATTGCAGATTGTTCAGAAATATACGTATGTAGCGATGGATACAGAATTTCCTGGTGTTGTGGCAAGGCCAATTGGTGAATTTAGAAGCTCGGCCGATTATCAATATCAAATGTTGAGGTGTAATGTAGATTTATTAAGGATAATTCAACTGGGGCTTACCTTTCTAGATGAGAATGGAAAAACGGCAGGTGGTTCTTACACAACATGGCAATTTAACTTCAAGTTTAATTTATCGTAAGTGTCTTTGTATGAATGCATAGAAGGGCCACATGTACTCAAAATTTGGAGTATAACCAATATGTGGCCCCTTTAAGCCTGCATAAATTTTAACATTTTCTCATGATTAATCTGCTGTGTTGTAGGGAAGATATGTACGCACAGGATAGTATCGACTTACTTCAAAACTCTGGCATACAATTTAAGAAACACGAAGAGGAAGGTATCGAACCATTAGAATTTGCAGAACTCCTAATGAACTCCGGTATTGTTTTAATGGACAACATTAAATGGTTGTCCTTTCATTCCGGTTACGATTTCGGTTACCTCATCAAACTCCTAACAGATAATCATCTGCCACAAGACGAAAGCGAATTCTTCGAGTTGCTAAAGCTGTACTTTCCCACAATTTACGATGTTAAGGTACGCTTTTTTCCCAATGAACTGTCTCTATTAGGAGTCATTTTAGTATCTGATGAAATCGTGTAAAAACTTGAAAGGCGGTCTTCAAGAGGTTGCAGAGCAGTTGGATTTGGAGCGGATCGGACCCCAACATCAAGCCGGATCTGATTCTCTTCTAACCGGGATGGCTTTTTTCAAAATGAAAGAAGTAAGTGCTTTGGAAAGGTCTCGGCGGGTTGCTTATTATTGCTTGATTGCAGATGTTCTTTGAAGATACGATCGATGACTCGAAGTTCTCAGGTCATTTGTATGGTTTAGGTACGTCCTTCGCTGTTAACGGAAATGCAAACAGCTACGCTAATGATAACGGTGATACGAATAATTCATCATGAAACAACTTCATACCTACACATTAAATAAAGTGTTTAAGTAATATATTTTATAAAATCATTTTTGTTTTATTGTTTGATTGGATTTTTATCAATGAAGTACAAAAAAACAAAATTGTAATTATTATTTCGAAGTTAAAACAAGTTGTAATACTAATGTTGGCTTAATCCAGTTTCCTTTCAACCTTTAGTAGCAAAACTATTCTTATCCTAGTAGTGAAAGGTTTTTTTAAATCTTTTGAAAAACATGCGAGCGAATTTTTTTTGAAAACTTAACTAAGAAATAATTCATGGATCCCCCATCTACCTAAACAATGTTTAGCATCCTATTACAACAAAAAGAGTTGGGGGGGGGGGGGGGTTTTTGAATTAGGAATTAGGCATCATAAGTATAGGGTGTCGAAATCTTCTACAGAACAAATAGACACCTTTAACAGGTGGCGAAAAAATTCTGAATTCTGAGAATTATTTTTAGTTTCATATGATTACAACCAGAGGGCAAAACACCTTCAAAACAAAAACCCACATTATGTTCTGAAATATAAAAAACCAACCAATTTTGAAAAAATTTGCTGCGACTAGCATAGATACCAGCGCATGCGCGATTCTGCCCTTTTATGTTTATATTTGTTTCAAATCAGTTTGGCCGAAAATGAGACTGGGAACGTGTATTTCGTCAAAAAAGTGGGGGGGGGGGCATTTTTTACCCCAATGCAATACCTCCCTTACTAACGTGCAGGTAAATATAAAAATACTTTCAATTCATGGAATTTAAAAAACTTTAAATTTCTTATTGAGCAAACCTATTATAGTATTTAGAACCAATTGAACCTTGTGTGTCTTAGTGTAGGTGCCTTAAATAATAATGACGTGAAACATTAATGTAAGTAATACAATTTGTGAGGCCCGTTTTTGAATTAGAGACCTTGTACATAAGTCCAGCAGCTACCAACAAGAAGAACAAGCTTCAGAATGAAACGGACAACAATTTTGGGTAATACAAGTGGTAGTAAAGAATGGTTTTCGCCTTAAGGCGGGTATCTTTATAGCAGAGCTTTAGCGCATTTTCCATGAATTCGTGAGTACCTACTTCCCGAAAGATCAGATAACGGACTATTTATGTGTACCAAGGAAAATAAGTTAAGGCATACATTAGAAACTTAGCAATGCGCAGACTGCGCATGCGTACAACTGGTTTAAAATATGCAATATGTTTGCCTGGAGAATCTCATGCTGTATAGTCCCTGTGCAACATACAGGCTGATTCAAATTCGAGGACCACCATGGGGATCTCGAAAACTGTAAGAGATAGGTAGGTAGTTTAAATTTTTGCAAATTTGCGTATTTTGACGCTTACCAAATGCCGTTTTGAAACTGAAAAAATTCCGACTACTTTCAGAGATATCCTTAAATCGAAATTTTGCAAAATATTTGATTTTACTGAAGATATTTCAAAATAAATGACACATTATTATGGCCGCTTTTTTCCCTCTACAAGATGTTAGTTTTAAATTTTAAGTCTGACGTTTCGTCTCCGGTTAATCATCAACTTCGTTTTTTCTTATGGAAGTCATTTTTACTACTTGTGTCATTTGATAAAGCATTTCTTCCGATTTCCAAAACTTTAAACATCACTATTTTTTAAATATTATTAAAATAACCTCTTTTTTGTCTCGCAAATTTTGTCCTGGGTAGTGTACGTTCGTAGTTTCTTGCATTTTTACTAATTAATAGTGCCATTTTTTTATTAGAAAATAGTGATATTTATATTTTGCTAATGCTCAGAGGTAGTACTATGAGAATTAGATCCACAGATTTACTAATGAGTTTCTCATGTGATCAAACAAATTCTGAACTCCACCGTTAAATGGTCTAAAATTGCAGCATAGAAAAAAGAGTCTTATTTACCTTTCTATAAGTGCAATCCAAAGACTTGGAGCAACGTGTCATAAGCAGAAACCAGGGTTGTTACAGAGAATAAAACACATTGCTAAATTCTGTTGACTAAAAACCTTCAACAGTGTGTTATACTTTCGAGTATACATATAGTTATATCACTATGTATACATATTTAAGATTATTATCACATTCCCCATAAATTCTAATAGATAATTTAATAAACATAACAATCGCTCTTCACGTAATAATCACAGGAATGTTGTACTGCTGATCAAGTCCTAAATACGAATCGCTAACGATAAAAATCGTAAAAACATAATTTCCTGAAAGCAAGACGCTATTAAACAATTCCAATTTTACCCAAGTCTTACCAGGTGCCGAAGGTGCAGTGATCATCATAGAACAGTTCGTTTGTCTAACAACAGTAACCCTTTTAATTTGCAGTAAATAGTCGTACTTCGAATCCCCAACGCAAATAAACCATCCCTCGTCCTTCTTCTTGGGAAATCTGGGGGCATGTACCGACAGATCGGGTGAACCTAGGCGCCTAATGTTAAATACGAATTCATATTCTTCGTCCGCCGTTAGTGATAAAGTTGGTATGTTCTTCCTTGAAAGTGTCTGTTCTAATTGGGGAAACGTAATGGAGACATCTAGCAAGGGTATGTCGGATATGTGTTTCAAAATTTCTTTGGCCGTTTTCATCTCGAACAACACTGTAAGTGCGCATTCTAGTTGTACTCGATTCTTCTGGCAGGCGAACTTTAGTGATGGGAGTGATACGCTACGTTCGTCCATGTTTAATTTTTTTTGTAATTCAGAATAGAGTGTAGGAAGATGCGCTTCCGTGACATGCGGAAGCGTCAATAACACAGATGTGCCTAAAAACTGGCCTTGAATAAGCATTTGCATCACGTGAATTACGCGTAGTGTGCAACTGAGCCACCCTTTATTTGAGGCGATATCGGTCATAGCCTGAAATTGAGTGTGTATATTCAAAGATTCTTAATGCAGCTTGTTTACCTGTAAAACCCGCAACGCTTGATCCATGACTAATTTAAAATCAACTTTATATTCTTGATTCGGAAATTTAAAACGCTGTAAGTGCGCATAAATGAGTAGCGCAACTTTGACACTAGGCAATTCGCAGGATTCTCCATTTAACGGATAAGCCATTTCTTGAGCAATATCCCTGTAAAGATACTAGAGGTTGCATACCTGACACGCTATTGTTAACATTTACTTGTTAATTTTATCTTCGTTGTGACGTACAGGAAACGTTGCATACTCTTCCGCGCCACACAATACTTTAATTATCTCAAAGATGGTAATGTCCTTCTCCAACTGCTTTTGGAAGTGCACCATAGTTTTGTGCGATAGATAATAGAAAGACGCCATTTGTCCGTAAAATGTAATCTCGTATCTCAGTCTCATTTCCTAAAATGACGCGTCAAATTAAACGAGCAGGAACTCCAATTTTAAGTAGGGAATACACAATGCAAATCATTTACTTTATTCATTCCCTATTATTCCATATGTAATTAAGAACAAGCTCTCACATTAGAATTCGAAATCATTGTAGAACGTTTTGGATTAATGATCACACCAAAATTAGGGACAACAAAGGATCTTGGTGGAATTGCTGCAAAAATGAAACATCTACGGACGCCTCAAAAATGTATAAATTATTTTCTCAAAAGCGACTATATCGCGGATCTTGTACGACCCGATTATTTGGATTATTGAACAAAACCGTTATTTAAAATTTTTTATTTTTAATTATCGACCGCCTGCGTGCGGAGTATTATGTCTGAACAAGCTTTCTTTCTTTCAGGGAATGTTCTAATTGCTTCATGTTTTGCTAAATAATTTTTTTTGATCGTCAATCAATTAATTGTATTTATTCGAATTTTTTTAGATAGGACATACTATCGGTTTCCGCGACCGCACCGCCTCACCGAGCGGCATGAATTATATTTACGACCTACCTACCAAATATTTAAAAAAAAACTTCACAAAAATCGGTTGAGCTGTTTCGGAGTGGCACCACAAACACCATGACACAAGATTTTTATATATTATTACATATGAGATCCACGAAAATTTTTCCGCGACATATTTCCCTATCCAGTGCCACTATTGTAATGTTTTAAATACAATGCCCTCACTCAACCCAGGCTAGCACCATGTCCGCAAGGTCAAAGATGTGGGAGTCAAGTACTTTAAGATCAAGTTGTGTCCTGCTAGAAATGAGATACTTACAACTTCTTCAACTCGAATACAATTACTTTCATCCAAAACATCAATGACAGCATCAACCAAATCACTCAAAAACTTTTGCAATCCAGACGGCTCAACATCGTCCACCTTATAATATGCGGGATTTTCTAGAAGCCTACGATAAAGGTATGTCCACGTCATGTATTCCATAAGCTGGTCTTTGGTGGCGATTGTGCCGGACGCAATTTCTGCATTGATATGGTCCGGTAACACCTGCATCAAACTTGATTCGATCGGGAACGGTTCGTACAAGAACTTTTTATAAAAATTCTTCTTTATATCCTGCACGAAAACGCACGCCACTCCGCTGGTGTCAAATTGTGGTCGACCGGCTCGGCCCATCATTTGCAAAATGTCAGTAATTGGCATGTCGATGTATCGTTTCGTTTTACCGTCGAAATATTCAGTTCCTACCCAAATACACATGTTTCAATTAAAACTGCCAACTTGCTTATCATGTTACACTCACCTTTAATTACAACAAGATGAGCAGGAAAATTTACACCCCAAGCAAGCGTAGCGGTTGCTATTAGCACTTGTATCTTTTGATTAACAAATAGTTCTTCGACGGTCTTGCGATCTTGCTCTTGTAAGCCAGCATGATGTATGCCGATGCCGAACAATAAAAAGTGCTGCAAATCTGGATCCGATATATTTCGAACAATATACTCCATAACTTCTTCGTCACAGTGCAGCCAACGTTTGCTGTCGAAATCAGTCGATAAGAATGTGATCAGATCAATGGCAGTTAGTCGAGTTTGTTTACGCGAGGAGCAGAATACCAAAGTAGGGCTGTCCGGAGCAAATTGTCTTATCTTTTGGTAAGTCGGTCGGTTCATCGAGAGCATTCTCGGGCAATAATGCTTCCCAGAGAAACCCATTATGTGTACGTCTAAAGGTACAGGACGCACAGACGGACGGAAATTATACAATCCAACCTAAAAAAAAAGACAATTTCCAAAAAAATACAAGCTAACCCACCTCGTTAATTCCGAGCCAGTTTGCTAAGTTTCCAGCATTGGCCATGGCTGTAGACAGACCAATAATTCTGGGCTTCATGCCCGTTTGGCAAGCGATAAAATTTGTTCGCGAGACGATTACTTCCAGAACGGGGCCGCGATCTTCGCCCAGCAAGTGAATTTCGTCTATTATTATTAAACCGATATCCTGAATGTACTTCCTATTTTGCCAACCTCTACTCAAGCCGTCCCACTTTTCGGGGGTTGTTATAATAATATCAGCTTCTTTTAACATCTGCATGCTAGGCGTGACATCTCCAGTAATTTCAGTAACCTTTTTACCTAAATCATTAGCAAAACGCTTCTTCCAATCCTCCACGCGCTCTCTCACCAAAGATTTTAATGGCGCGATATAAACAACCTAAAGTTGAAATAAATACCTGCGACACCTTCCTTTTAAATACTTGCCTTTAAATTGCTGTTTTTGTTAAATAACCGAAAGATGCATATTTCAGCTGCTATAGTTTTACCAGATCCTGTAGGCGCACCCAATAATACGTTGTCATCCCTGTGATACAGTGTATGAAATATTTGTGTTTGAACTGGATTGAAATGAGAAAATTTGAAGAGTGATTGATAAACCGAATTGCCTAATGCTTCAACCGACAAAGGTCGAAGTTCTAGGAGTTCCGTATGAGGAGTAAAACTAAGAGGTATGTACAGATCCTTAAATGATAATGCATGTTGGTGGGTAGCATCTAAAAAATTATACTGTTAGATGGCGCAACTAGTCCAGTCAAATTATCATAATACCTTGCATCAGATGTGTCACTTCTATTTTTTTTTTTAATTGTTAAGCTGAGTATGGATGTCAAAAATCCAAGTTTTCGACATCCAAAGACCTGTGCGAGCAACGCAGCACTCGAAAATACGCCATTTTTTCTATTATTTTTAGTTTTTGGTTAGTTTTAGTTCTGAAGGACAGATTTTAAAGCAATTATTGTCGTATCCTTTTTTAAACTAGACAAAATTTGTGACAATTCAAGCCTTTAACCGGCTCTACAAGTAGAATAGTTTTGGAAATACAGTGTTTCAAAAATTCGTAAATTTTTCAGTTTTAATCAAATTTGCCTTTTTTTCGCATAAAAATCGCATGAACATTTTTATAATTTTGTTCGTTTGGAGGGACTTTGTGGTGAGAAATCTCCATAAATCCGCACAGAAAGAGCTAGAATGTTGATATCCTCTGGATCCCCAGCATCTCCCATGATAAGAAAGTTGTCATCTTCTTCTTTTCGGCAAGATCCACTACCTGTTGCATGAATTGCGAAATCTGTGAATTTTTTCCTTTTGCCTGTAGAAGATCTGTGACAGTAGCAGAAAGCTTACTCACAACAACACTATGATGAATGAATAACGCATCACATATAAACATGGATATTTTTCCACTAAAAGACAAAAATCAATATTTAATTTGCTTTCATTGTCCGCAATTTTTAGCACTTCTTCAACAAGTTTATTACGACTCACGACTTACGACAATTCACCGTGCATATTTTGTAAGTTTACTTTCTGCGAAGAAAAAACGCAAATTTTGATAAAACTTGTAAAACTAATAAATTTACCAATAGTTGAAGCGCCGTATCTTGGAAACTTTTAGACTTGCGGAGATCGTTAAGGGCTTAAATTGTCAGAAATTTTGTCTAGTTCAAAAAAGTATACAAATCGATCCTTCAGGAGTAAAACTTGCAAAAACCAAAAAATGGTAAGAAAAATGACATATTTTCAAGTGCTGTGTCGCTCGCACAGGTCTTTCAATGTTGAAAACTTTCACATCCATATTGATCCTAACAATTTAAAAGAAAAATTAGAGATGACATATCTGATGCACGGAATCCCAATTTTTTGGTCTAATTTGACTGTACTAAACATAGTACATGGAATACTAACGCATCCAGCGATCGCTACACACTCGAACCAAATACTGATTTGGCCTTGGTTCAACCAAAGGTAGGGTCAACACAAGTTCCAATGTTTCCATCTTGGTACAAACGGCCTTAGTTATAGCCAGAGATTCGGAATGATAAATTGTATCATTATCAGGATCTTCAACCCACAACCAAAAATTCTCACAACCCTTCCCGTGGATTTTGTCATTCCATACAAACATTGGCGTGATAAAAAGTTTCACTCGTATAACGCCTCTAGTAATCGGATGTAAAGTCGAGTCGATCGAAAGTAAAGGAAAGGAATCCACGTAATGCCTAAGTACGTTCTTCACCTTGTGGTTCCTGATCAAATAACCGAGATCTTTATCATCGACATCTTTCAGATCTTGAATGCGTATATGATGACTTTCAATGTGGTCTATCACGGAGATTGGGATATCGGGAAATTGTCGAACAGGTGATTGAAACGGCCACATTTGTCTCTCAAAAGCTTGCGCGACGTTAAGACAGCGTCCAGCAAATGTCGCCTGATTGCGATGTATAGCGATATCAAACAGAGCGCGCGCGATTCGGGCAGAGCTCTACAATTACGCGTTGTAAAAAAATCACAATTATTAGGATATTACTTGGTTAATGAATTCCATATCAGAGGCAAGGGAGATTGATTTGATGTACCCACGTGATAAATACGTTTGCATTAACGCATAGACTTTTCCATCCGGATTCTCTACTCCAGTGGTCACTGGAAATTCACAATAGGAATCCGTTAAACCATCGAGATCATCCAATTCATCAGGCCGCACCTAAACAATAATAGTACATTATATATCAAGGTAGAGAAGTACACTATTATTGGCTGAGCACCAAGATTACATCTCAAGGCGCTTGCGCCGAGGGGTGTAAGGTGCGAAGGTAATAATAGACTTCTCTACCGTGGTATATATACTATTTTTTTCACTACTAGCACTTGAAATCCTCTAAATTAACATATTATATTGATAAGAAAACGAACGGTTGGACAGAATTTTTTGTTTATTAATTTAACATGTCAATCAAGTACCTACGTAGAAGCACAAGTCAAACAGGCCGTATTTTGTTCTGTCATTGAGATATTTTCAAAGAGTAATTTTGTTCGAATTTTTTCAAAATGTGATAATTTTAGGTATATAATTTCTCTGGAAATGGCGGATGGTGGCAATTATTCATTTTAGAGAACTTGTCCAACAGCGACCTCGGAAGTACGGGTCAGAGGGGGCGAGCCGCCCCCTCAGTTTTTACACAAGGGGGGCCGCGCCCCCTCTAAGAATGAGTAGATAAATCATTCAAAAGCAACTTACACATCTTCTACCTACGGCATGTGCGTGCAGAAATTACAAAGAGTGTAGGAGTAGAGGGTACGTTGAAAGAATTTGCCAGCAAAACTGTTGAGAGGCGGAAAATTTTTGGATATATTTAATTTTTTATACTTGCTTTTCTTTACAATGCTCAATAGTGCAATAAATAGGAACAAAATTTTTGTAACTTTTGTATGTTCTAGTTCTTCATTATTTTTTAAATAAATATTGATGATCTATGGGTATGCTCTTCTCAATCGAGTCAAGTATCTCTGAGTTGCTCAATTGCATATAACTAGACATCCTCCGACACTTTTTAAAATTTTTTTCAAAACTTTTCTTTCAAAAATACATTATTTGATTGATTAAATAAACAGGTTTCAGGGTCACTTACAAAACCCACTGCTTTGCATTAATTTGTACACAATTTTGCATGGGAGGGACGTTTCAGACTCCATGGTCGCTGATTTTTGCCCCCCCCCCCCCAACCGTTATTCACTTCCGACGTCGCTGTTGTCCAAACGTTTATTGAGCGAAATTTCGGGTTGTGTTTTCTAAAAGTGACAGCGTGACAGTTCTCATTATTGACTACTAGTTAATAATGTCCACATTATTAACCACTTTGAATAAATGCTGAGAAAGCCTACTTTACAAGTGGAAAAAAGGTTAATAATCATGTAATCAGATAGCGTGGTCAAAGTACACTTACAGCTTCACAAAAAATAAAAACCTCATGAAATTTAAATTTTGAGTATTCAAAAAGGTTGTGCTTAATATTAAAATTCTTTACGAAGATAGGTATGCAATTTTCCGGAAAATTGTCGAGTGAAAAATGTTGTTTTCGTTTTTTCACTCTAATTGTTTTAATATTAAATATACGGGAAAAAGTTTCAATGAAAATTTGTAGCTGATGCATTTATCTACAAAATTTGTCTGAAATGTTTTTCTGTAAATTGAAAAGTGTACGAGATATAATTGATTTCAGCGGAAGTCGATTCGTGGGTGCGCGCGAACGCCCCGTGAGCCGAATTTATTTAAGGCTTGATTTAAAAGTTAATAATTTGAAGGTTGTGATGCACTGAAACAACGTAGATATTGACGAAGATGAAGATAATGATGACTTCGACGATCAAACAACTATAAATGGTGATAACCAAGACACTCAAGGTTCACATTTTGAGGATAACTTCAATGAAGATGAAAATGATATTGAGTTATATTTGAGCTCGGAAGACGAATGATACTGATTGATTTCGATATGATTAATAAATGAAAACTCTACGTTTCTACATGTCATTGTTTAATTAATATCTTAAAATTAAAAACTTGAAAATTGATGATGTTTAAAAATACTCTTAGGAAAATTTGGTATATTTCAAAAACTAATGAAGATATCAGAAAACTTTTCAGACAAATTCTGTAGCTAAATGCATTGGCAATAATTTTTGATTTGAACATTTTTCTGTATTTTCATTATTTAAACAATTAAAAATTTTCGATCAAAGTTCTTCCGGAAAATTGCTTACCTAAATTGGTAAAGATTTTCTCATATTAAGCACAATCCTTTTAACTACCTAAATTTGTATTTCCAAAAGGTTTTTACTTTTTGCTGCATTTTACGGATATTTTATAATAATAATAATAATAATAATAATAATACATACTATCTCTAGATTTTCAATGTGAGGGTGTGAATTTTTATTTTATTTATTTATTTCTTTTATTTTTTTTAGGACCCTACATAACTTCACCAGACACAGACACTAATCGTTACTTGATTTTAATCCGTGCGATTAGTTAACCAGGCTAGACCTGAGTTCTCACAAGATACACCGACCATAATAATAATCTTTATTTCCTGTAGATATATAAAAATGTATAGGACACGTCAGTAACAATAACAAACAACATAAATAGCAATAACATGTGAGTTGGATATTATCACAGTCTACATAGGTACCTGAAGTATGTTTGATATTATATTGTCAAATAATGGCTAGCTAGAAGATCAAGGTAAGTTCTTGTGAATGAATTCCGTAATCGAATAGTATGAGTTGTGATGTAAAATATCTTTAATTATTTTTTTGAATGGTTTTATTTCATATCTACATATATCTTTGGGAAGCAAGTTATATAACTTGCATCCCATATAATAAGGGGATTTTTCATAAAAAGTGTGGGAGTGCATTTGTGTACTTTGACCAGGCTAAGACGCTAGTAGTGAAAAAAAGAATATAATATAAATGTTTCTGTGCCCCGATTGACAACACAAATAAAATGCTAATCCTGAAAGTAAGGCAGATTCACATTATTGGTCACGTCACAGTGCGGTCAATTATTACAGCGCGTATTGCCTAAGGCCGATTCACATCACCCTAACATGACCTATAATGTGAATTAGGCGAGTATCATTTGATAAAATGTACTCTTTATTATATACTTACTTGCATATCATTAAATTCGGAAGCATAACACATCATTTGAATAATAGCAGCTTCTGTCATAAACGGCTGCATTTTAGCACTAAAGTTTTCAATACTCTCAACAGTTATATAAAAATAACTAGCGGTTCTGCCTAAATACGTTGATGTAAACTCTCCCGAACTTTTATCGTAACGAATCATTTGAGTGCGATCTAAATGTTCCGCGGCATTGTGGCACAAATCAAATAGATGCCGCCGTAACGTGGGATCATCCTACAATCAAAATTTATGACACATTTTAGCACTTTGGTGACCAACCTCAAAGTCTTTCGGCAATAATCCGTAGACATGCGGATTAGCATTCATCCTCCTATACATGTAAGTAAACGTTAGCCATTCCACCGCTTCTTGAATATTCGCAATGGTTCCCAGGACAATCTACAAATGAGACTGTGAGACTACTTTCGGCTTACACGAACTTACCTCGGCATTTAAGTTGTCAGCTAAAGCCTTCATTAGGTTACTCTCAATTGGAAGCTGATTAGTTAACGAAGAAAGATAGAAGTTCATTTTTTCATTACTTGTCATAATGATACCATGGCCAGAGGTATCAAATTGCGGCCTACCAGCCCTACCAAATATTTGTAGGACATCCAGAATATCCAAATTAACGAAAGATCCCCGCTTGGAATCGTAAATTTCTGTACCCTAAAACACCAGCCCCTAATAACCAAGTTGCAAAGGAAGTGCACAGTACTTTGATAATAACTCCGTGCGCGGGAAGGTTCACACCCCAAGCCAAAGTTGCAGTACACACCAATACTTTTATGGTACCATTCATAAAGTGTTTTTCTATCAGAGATCTATCACGCCTCATCATACCAGCGTGATGTACACCAAGGCCATGCGCCACCAAATCGTCCACAATTTTATTGGGTGCATTTCCAATTTCCAAATTCGCTTTTTTTGCTTGAATAGATCTCGGTGGTAAAAACAAATCAAGCATTTTACGTTTTCCTGCGGTTTCTTTTAGGAAATTTGCCGTTTTTACAGTTTGGTTTCTAGCATGGACGAACACAAGTACCTACATTTAATTTCATTATTAAACCGCATCAACCGATTATTGAATTACCTGATGATTGTCTCTTAGAAATTCAACAACCTTCTCAAAACACACTTCATCCAAATCATTTTGGTACTGTCCCTGTTTGCTCGGTTTAATACCAACAAATGTCTGCACCAGAGGTACTGATCTAAATCGATTGTCAAAATAAAATAATCCTACTTCTGGATTAACCCTAAGAAATTGAGAGACGTCGAGATAACTCGGTAATGTGGCCGAAAGTCCAATTATACGAATCATGTTTTGGGATGTAATCACTTGACGGAGAGTTCGAGCGACCAGCGCTTCAATGACAGGTCCTCTGTCTGTATTTAGTAGGTGCACTTCATCGATGATCAATAATTTCACTAAACTGGTTAATTCGGCGTCAGCTGAAAAAAAAACGAATTTCAGGTGGTAATGGAAGAATAAATTGGAACAAATTTGACGATACGAAAGATTTCTATTACTTAAAAAAAGTTGGATGGGTATCAAGAAATGAAAGAAAAATTGTTTGCCTGTCCGTCGGTTCACACCACTCTCCCTAAACAAAGTGTTGACAATGCACATTCCAATCTTCGCCATATGCTTACGTTCTGGTGAGACAATGTGAACATTAATATTTATTATCAGTTTTGCTAGAGAAAAAGGTTAGCAGTGTACAAATAGAACGATCATGACATTTTCTTTAAACACAAATCGTGATGAACTAAGGAAATCATAAGTTTTAAACCATACATCTCGTCTGCTCATAAAATTTTTAATGTATTTGGAGAACATTATCCTGTGAAGAAATATTCCTTACAGTTTTCTCTATCACAGAAAGTAGAATTTAATGTGAACATAGGTACCCAAACAAACGTAAGACAAATTGTTTCATGGAACCGTATAACCTTCAGTGGCTTGTTGCGGAAGAAGAAAAAGTTGGTACCTGCAAACTCCACATGTCCACATGCAAAAACCCATTCTAAGAATATGAGAGGTTATTGGCGTAGCCGTAAATGAATAGGAAACATATGAAGGAAATGTCAGAGGTATTTAAATCTTCTCTTCTACCCTTTATTGCATTCATTCAAAACTTCAATAAATACTGCGATTAAAAAGTGGAACAGATTTGCCAGCATACCTACTCGAAACCACGTGCGTTTGTGAAAGTTTCCAAGATGGATATACATGAAGTAGATAACGTTATTTCTTTTAAAAAGCGATTCTGATGCAGCTCTGTAATCTCAATAATGACACGGGACAGACTGATTTGAAAACCAGCTGCCCATGTAATATCTGCAATGCCTAATGAAAATCATACACACACAAAATACATTCACAATTCTATTTCTAAAGTTTGCCATCTTCACAACTGATTCGGGTACTAAAGTGACACAGTTAATGCTGTAAACTTAACACAATCAGATAAAATACCTACCCGTTCCCTTTCGACTGATAACATCCCACTTCTCCGGTGTCGTAACTAACATTTGCGTCTCAATTATTTCTTTCCTCGACAACTGCATATCCCCAGTTAACTCCTTTACTTTTACACCTAAGCACGCGAGTTTCTTACTAAAATTAGCTGTCATCTCAGCCGCCAGCGCTTTCATTGGACATATGTAAACGATCTGAAACAAAAATTGTGCACCAACATCGCGCAGTTTTAGAAACACTCACCTTAAACCTTTCTAGGTGGATTACATTATCTTCAATGAACTTCTTAGCCTGATTTACGATCGTCATCAGGGCGATATTTGTTTTTCCCGAGCCTGTAGGAGCGCAAACAAGCATGTTCTCGTTGGTGTTGTAGGCGATGTTAAATACTTTCGATTGTATGAGATTAAAATGTTTTATATCCTTGAATACCATTTTGCCGATCACATCCAATGAACTTATGGCGACCTTACCCATCTGCTCAGGGGGTGTGTTATTCTTTCTGGGTGGTATGGTAATTTCTTCGTATAATTCGCGACTTTTTATAATTGCGTCGTATGGTACACTGGCCACGCTTCCACATATTTGCACTGTTTTTGGATTTTTTACATGAGTACTTACATACAGGGTGTCTGAAAGCTTGCAATGGGCTGTCTTTCTTTTTAAATATAAAAGCCATTTAGAAAATATGTAGGGGAACTTAAATAGTAGTCCTACATTGACACGTTGTTGAAGCGTTTGAAAACTCAATGAAATCTAAAAAGTGGATATAGAAAAATGAAGAAACACATAAAAAAAGGTCATTTTGGGACAATTTGCAACAACTCCAGAATTATCTCTTCTCACTGCTGCTTTGTCCAAGAGGACATTTTTGGAAGTTTTGTTCTTTTTTAGACAAGCTTAGCTTAGTATGAAAATAATTGCATTAAAAAATTAATAATTTTCCACCTAAGAAAACGTGTACCTTCTACATCTAGCATGTTATGGAAATTCTGACAACAGATTCAGATTCTACGAAAAAAAGTGCCAATAGAAGATGCTATTGGGAAACGTCCATTTCCAATTCTTTGAGCTAGAGAAAATGAAAACGAAAGTTGAAATTGTTCAGTTGTTTTCAAAGATTTTTCAGAAATTTCAACTGCATAGTTTTTGCTTTAATTTATATTTGTCTTTATAGGGAATAAAGTTATTATTATTATTATTATTAAGCAGTGATTTGAACCACCCTGTATAGGCGTCATTTTGATCAGAAAATATTGGTTCGCTTAAGAGATACAGATGAAAAGACCCTATTAATCCTTAGTTAAAAGCGAGGTTAAAAGAAATACAGAAAAATGATTTATACAACAGTTTCTTGTAATGATTGTTGAATAATCTTCCGTTTTTAAAATAAGTAAGTAAGTATATGGAGTCATGTCAAAAAGATATGGCACCTAATCTCATATTTATTGGAACACCCTGTATATTTTAATTTAAACACGAGAAAATATAACACTAATATTGACTCGAAAACTTTCAAAACAGATTTTCAAAAAATTAAAAATCGTTCAATTTTGTTGCTTTGAAGAGGAGCTCAAGTGACATCATCCAACCGGATGACAGATGTCCAAAGTGGAGAAAGTGGCCAGCCCTCCTCACGGTTGACATTGATTGGGTGCTTGAAGATCTCAGTGCTCTTGTGGAATTTTCTTTGGTACAAGAAGGGGGCGAATGGGATAGACGAGGATAGAGACTTTGTCTTGGTCATATCCAATTTCTAAACATTTTTGAAAAAATGCAAAGAAAAGAACAAATAATTAGGTTGTCTATTTATGGATGCAAAAATAATATACGTTTTTCAGCTGTGTTTTAAAAATTCAATCTATACAGTATTAATGATCAATCAATCAATATAAAGCATTTTCTAGAAAAATCGGTGTTCATAGATCACCACCCAGATTATCTTAGCCCTGACATAACTAATCATTGCACAATGCACAGGATTGCATCTCACCTCAAATCAACCTAATAATTTATTATTAATAGACCTCATTTAAAATTTATTGTTCTCTCATTTTTCAATCTGTAGCTTCAAATTTAATTTGTGCTTTGTTCGTACTGTCAATTTAACTCCCCCTACAACCTAGCAAACCTCTTATAATAAAAAAAATAGCCCCATTAGAAGTTTTCAAACAGACACCTTATGGACCAGTTACTTACTTTTGGTGACAATATCTAAATGTTCGTCGTAAATATTGGGCATATTTTTAAGGGTTTTGCTAGTACGCTGCTGCCTGGAATAACATAATTAATTTAGAACCGTGGTTAATGGCAACACTTACAATGTTTTCCTTTCGAAAGCTTCATGCGACACGGTTGTACTTTCCAACACTTGCACGACTAATTTTTCTAACTTATTTAATTCACCTAAGACAGACTCTAGGTTAGGTGGACTAGACGACTTTGACCCAACAGAGGGACCCAGCCCATTTTGGTTGGCTGTCTGACTTAAGTGCGCTCTATTACTAAGTATATCCGCTACTAATTCAAATAAATCGAAACCTAACATTTCTATAAAGTCATTTTGTAGTTCATCTTCTTTTTTATTGGAAGACAGTAATTGATGTACGGAATTGACAAACTCTTCGCATAAAAGTCCGGGCATTAAAGTTTTGTACTGATTGTAACGCTCCTTCAACCAGCTTGTGGGGTCAAGTTTAATGGGTTGTTTGAGCGTAGTATTCTGATGTTTAAGTTTCTTTTTTGTGGACTTATAAAAATGTTCTGGCACCACAAATTTTTTAACATGATTGGTTCCACTTGCGGGTTGTGAATGTGAAAATAAATTCTTTTTAAAATCGCTAGGTAATTCTTTCAATAAATAATGTAAACCCTAAAATTAAGCTTTAGGTTTACACTATGTTAGTACCTACTTAAACTCACCTGTACTAAATTTTGCGTTACATATGTTGGAATACCTGGAAAACATTTTTTTGCTATATCAGTCTTGACTAAATCATTCCCTCCTTTATTTATCACTTCTAACAATGCAGCAAAGTTAACGTTATCCGTTCCCTTTGGAGAATACTGTGCAATAGTCGAGTAAACCGTTCTTTGAACTTCTAGAGCAAAAGAATTATCTTCATACTCAAACGCTGTTTTCATAACATCAAAAAGGTGCCTACAACATTATCAGTGAACTAGAGAAGCCGAAAATGCAACATATAGTTAATAACATTGAATAACAAGACTTGTACAATATTGCACAATGTTTAATAAACTGCCATACTTACCGAAATGTTTCTTCCTCTGGATGTGTATTAGCTATACCCTCCTCTTTTTCATTTTGCGTAGAAATAACCTTCCTAAATGCAGTAATAGGCATATTATGAAATATTTAAAATTTAATGAAGGTAGCAAAAATCGGCTTCTACTCCACAATCACCAAAAAGATGTAAAATAACAGGCCAATTTTTTGAGGTTATGTGCAGGCTCTACTGTGTGCGGTAGTTAACATACCGCCACCGTGAATCCAAAACTTTCTTTTTAGTTACAATATATACATGGTGCTCAATTAAAAAAAATGAAATTAGTTCCGATCATTATTTTTTGCCTGACCCCATATCAATATTTTGAAAACGGAAGATTATTCCATAAGCATTATAAAGAAACTTTAGTATCGGTATATGTATTATATTTTTCCTCCTTTGGACTCTGGTGGCTCTATATTGCCTGGCAACAAGTTTTCTAAAACCTCTCAAATTATTTTCAGTTTATTTTCATTCTCTTGTGATACTATTGCAGACTATTTTTTTTCAGAGAAAATTTTGTGGGAATTCAACCAGTAGATATTTTGTAGATATTTGCCTTGTTCTACGTACCTATCAAAGATCAGAAAACTTACAAAAAGTGTCCCATTTAGATTGCGAAATCTACCATTGGCGACTGATGATCTACCAGAACTGCAGGTTCGCATTAACAGTGCCTTCTGTCAAGCTGACTGTCCAGAGCTGGGCAGTATTTGATTTTGTAAATACTTTTTAGTATTCAAATCCTTTAAAGTATTCAAATACATTGTAATTAAATACTTTTATGGAAGCAGTATTTGTATTTGTAACTCAAATACTTTCACAAATATCTAGTATTCGAATACTTCGCAAAGTATTTGAATACTTAACCTTCCTTTTTTTTACCAAAAATCGACTACTCCAAAATTTCTCGGGAAAACACTTTTTCTTATTAATTGTGGTGCGTAGAATCCAAAACGATTCGTACTTTTTTTTATTAGACCTCTCAATAAAAAGTTATGGACAAAAAACCAATTTCGAAAATAAATTCAAAGGGCTGTAACTTTTGATCTAGTAACCCAATCTTCAAACTGTTTGAAATTATGGATTCTACAGGCCACATTCTATAAGAAAATTTTTTTCCCGGGTCGATCTGAGACAATTTTTTTTTTAGCCTCAGAAAAAGGCAGTGTATAACCTTCCTTTTTTACCAAAAATCGACTACAACAAAATGTCTGGGGAAAACACTTTTTCTTATTAATTTTGGTGCGTAGAATCCAAAACAATTCGTACCTTTTCGATTAGACTTCTTAATCAAAAGTTATGGACTAGAAACCAATTTCGAAAGAAAATTTACAAGCGCTGTAACTTTTGATCTAGTAGCCCAATCTTGGAACTGTTTGAAATTATGGATTCTACAGGCCACATTCTATAAGAAAAATTTTTTTCCGGGTCGATCTGAGACAATTTTTTTTCGGGGCTCAAAAAAAGGCAGTGTATAACCTTCCTTTTTTACCAAAAATCGACTGCACCAAAATTTCTCGGGAAAACACTTTTTTTTATTAATTTTGGTGCGTAGAATCCAAATCAATTCGTACTTTTTCGATCAGACTTCTCAATCAAAAGTTATGGACTAGTAACCAATTTCGAAAGAAAATTCAAAGGGCTGTAACTTTTGAACTAGTAGCCCAATCTTGGAACTGTTTGAAATTCTGGATTTTTACAGGCCACATTCTATAAGAAAATTTTTTTCCGGGTCGTACTGAGACAATTTTTTTTTCGGGCGTCAAAAAAAGGCAGTGTACAACCTTCCCTTTTTACCAAAAATCGACTGCACCAAAATTTCTCGGGAAAACACTTTTTCTTATTAATTTTGGTGCGGTCGATCTCGGACAACCGAAGTATTTTTTTTCTCGGTCACAAAATCTTAAAAAGAATAGGAAGTACCTTTTAAGGTTATTCAAAAATGGATTTTCGCTAGGATTAATTTCAGAAAACGTATCATGTTTACGATCTGAAAACTGGTACACGTATTCTTTTAAGGTATAAGAAAGTAGGTACCTCCTATATAATAATAAAAATATGCTTTTACTTCTTAAATTTGTATATAACAAACCCCATACAAAGTATAAATAATAGTAAGACTTTTATCTAGTATACGATACTATTTGAATAACTGTATTCGAATACTTTTCAAAGTAAGTTAATGAAATATTCGTATTCGAATACTTTTCGAATACCTTTGATAGTATTAGAATACTTTGATAGTATTAGAATACTTTTGAAAGTATTCGAATATTTTTTTAAAGTATTTGAATACTTTTCAATGTATCTGTATCTAGTATTCGCTTGTGCTGGACGTAAAAGTATTTAGTATTCAAATACCTTTGATTTGTGTAAAGTATTTACTATTTAGTATTCAAATACTTTTTGAAAGTATTCTGCCCAGCTCTGACTGTTACGTTAAATTTTGAACGAACTGAGGCCAAATCGCGCGTTTCTGGACACATAAAATAAAGTTTTGGGGTTTTTCTATTCTTGCCTATTGCATTGATTGGTTGTGTGTATAATCAATGCCTATTGTATGCAGTATTTATTTAGTGTGCACACCCTGTAGTTTGCAGAATGTGCTTATGTAATCTATGGTCGAAGAAATGCAGTGGGCGAGGTTGGTAAACATGGTTTAGTGACCTAACCAAACATTCCACAAGATTTGAAATTTTAGTGTTTATTATGAAATATTCTAGAATTGTCATTTTAAATAGTTAAACCGCATTAAAATGTTGAAATTTACACATGGTGTAAAGCTCTTCAGGTCTCTCCGCAAGTCTTTAAGATTTTCTAGTTCTATTCTAAACAATTCCAACCTTCACATTGCTAACATTGCTAGGAATAATTATGGGAAATATGGCAAAGGACAGGAATGGACCATTCCGGGATTAAATCTCTATTCTCTCATCTTACCATTTAGTATAGGCATAGCACATTGTGACAGTAACTATGAAGATAAACAGTTTTTTCGTGTGGTTCGATATGGTATAGCTGTTGAGGTTCAAAAGTGTGTAATAACCATTTTGCTGAATTTAATTGTTAACGAATTTTACATTGCAGACTGCTGGAGATGTACAGTATTGATGTGAATAAACGGCACTATTTAGGTTGGACACCTTTAATGGTGGCAGTTGTTAATCAGAAATTCGACGTCTGCAAACTTTTAGTCGCGGCAGGTGCCGATCTAAATCTGACTGACGAGTACACAAATCCGCACAGAACTGCACATGAGAAAGGAATTCACACATTGGAAGGTAAAGTGTTCACAACAGCAACAGCTTTGCACTGTGAAATTTGTTTCAGTACTCATGGTACGAGACGAAGAATTTTGTATGATGCTAAACAACAGGGAGACATATTTAGGGTGCACAGCTTTGCATTACGCAGTATTGGTAGATAACTTAGAAATTGTAAAATTCTTAATTGCAAATGGTGCAAATCCGTGTATTGAAAATGACGCTGGTCACAAACCATTGCGATATGCGCGAGCAAACAGTGAAGTAGAACAGTTCTTAAAAGATACCACTTCTAAGGTAAGTCCTTATTAATTGTGTGCCAAATCAAATTGGCCATCCATTAGTACGAAGAACGTCAGAAAGAGAAAGAGTTAGAGGAACGCAGGCGATTCCCCATTGAGGAACGATTGAAGCAGTTCATTGTTGGACAGGAGGGCGCCATTACAACTGTTGCTGCTTGTAAGTGTCCGTGTTACAAAAGTAATTGTAAATTGTCTGTGAAGGTGTACGGCGGAAGGAGAATGGGTGGGTCGACGAGGATCATCCATTAGTGTTTCTTTTTCTGGGATCATCTGGAATCGGGAAGACTGAGCTGGCAAAACAGTTGGCTGGGTATATTCATAAAGATAAAAAGGCAGCTTCGTTTATTCGTTTGGATATGTCTGAATATCAGGAGAAACATGAGGTACTTATTCGAGTACTTATTAGTTACTGTGTTAGCAGCTTTGCATTTCTCTTTTGTTATTCAATAATTCATGTGCACTTATTCCTCATTGGGGTTCTTTGTGTTGGTGTCCTTTAACTAGTCATCCTAATTGGAGGCCTTCTGACCGAGTCTGCAAAATGGGAGTCGTTTATCGTTTAGTAGGTCATTAATGAACAGAGTATTCAGTCGGACTTATAAATGCAATAATAACTATAATCCAGACAGAAATTCAACAAAGCCTAATAAATAAATGGGCTGTCCGTAGGTAGCAAAATTAATTGGGGCCCCTCCGGGTTACATAGGTCACGACGATGGCGGTCAATTAACGAAACGATTAAAAGCTTGCCCGTCCGCGGTTGTACTCTTCGACGAGGTCGATAAAGCCCATCCGGACGTTTTAACTGTACTTCTCCAACTGTTCGACGAGGGACGATTAACCGACGGGAAGGGCAAAACCATCGAATGCAAAGATGCAATCTTCATAATGACCTCCAATTTGGCAAGTGACGAGATTGCTAGTCATGGATTGGAATTAAGACAGGAGATTGAGAACGTGCGAAATGAACGTTTGCAGCTCAAATTAGGTAGCTATAGTCAGTAACGGTAAGAAATTCTGATGACCGGTCGATTTCAGATGACAAAGATATCGTTGATAATATCACTATCTCGCGCAAATTTAAGGATACTGTTGTGAAGCCAATTTTGAAAAGGCACTTCAAACGGGACGAATTTTTGGGCAGAATTAACGAAATCGTGTACTTCCTACCATTCTCTCGAAACGAGTTAATACAATTGGTAAATCGAGAACTGACAGTCTGGGCCAAGCGGGTAAATTTTTTTTAATGCGTGCCAATAGTGCAGCTGACATTCTGATTTTAGGCCACCGACAAGCACAAAATCGACTTAAAGTGGGATAGAAGTGTGGAATCTGCGCTGGCCGACGGTTACGATGTCAATTACGGCGCACGCTCGATTAAGTACGAAGTGGAACGCCAGGTTGTTAATCAACTGGCGGCGGCGCACGAACAGGGATTGCTAGGTAAGGGTAGCACGGTCAAGGTTTCCATGAGTTGGAAGGATGTAGAGGATGTTAAACGTGTGAAGTTGCAAGTTAAGAAGAAAGGCTACAAAGATTTTATCGATATTGACCAATTTCAGTCCCCTGTTAAGAATGTTCACTCCTTTTTTGGTTAAAATGTATTTGAAATAATAATAGTACAATTTGTTTATAATTTTGTGTATATATGTTAAATAAATTATTTATTCAAATCGAACGGCAATATTAAATTACATTTATTGTGTAGTAAGTACCTAGTATCCATTTGCGATATTTTCCAAAAAATACTGCAGTTGCAGTTAATTATAAATTCCATACCAAAAAAGTTATAAAATACATAATGCAAATTTCGAAAAAAAACACGGCGTTTCCTCATCGCATTCCGCTTTAGGTTATTTTCTGGTTTAAAATTTGCGTTGTGTAGTTGTATTTGATTGCGATTACATTCGCGTTTCAAGTGTTGACTGTATCATTAGTAAGATTTTGTCAGGGGCAAACACATTCCCTTTGTCGGTACCCACTTCTGACGTCCACGTTCACCCGCAATTCGCGTTTAGGTGGATTTTGCTAAAAACCCAACACAAAATTGTACTCAATTTTTGGGGAACTTAGCTCGAGCTTCTATTGGCGATACGAGAAAGAGAGGCACGATTCGAGTCCTAAGAAACTGGGTCGACTACCCCTCGGAATCGCGCGCCTTGGAAAGGGTAGTTAATATCACCCTTAGGAAACAAAATTCTGTCACGCTGACGACACCAATTTGAAAGCAGTCTGAAACTGTAGAAGATGAAGATAGGAATAAACTAAAAACACGTTAACATAATGCTCAGAGATGTCGCCGACCCCAAATCATGTAGCTCCGTCCCTAAAGGTGTTAATTGTACGGCCCCGATCCAGTGCCGGATTTAGTTCATGGACCGCCGGGGGCTAAGTCATAGTATACCGCCAGTAGGTAAGGAAAAAAACTTGAATCTTGTTTTTTTTGTAACACTATAACTTCATTTAATTTTTGTTGTTTTTTTTCACTCACGCTCCACTAATAAATGAGTAAAATTTCTGAGCTAACGCGTAATGACGTACCTAACAGGATTGACGATACGGCGCGGCGTGTCAGAGTCGGGCGGCGTCGCTGGCGGTTTAAATAAATCCGTAAAGAGCATCTAAAAAAGCGGTAGAGCACCTCGGTGTGACCCTGCGGGATCATTGGGTTTGACCCATTTTCAATAGGATTGTTATATGTGGAATGTAGGTCAATTGTGCAAAGTTTGAACCGAATCGGTCCATTCGTTAAACAGTTATCGTGATTACCGACAGACAGACGGACACCATCAACTCCCCTATAAAGCTTACATTATTGCTTTTCTCTGCCGCTTAATACTTGTTCCTAATAAGGGTTTAACAAGTAAATGTGCCCGACAATATAATCAATGGAAAATAGAGGTAGATAACGGATTATGAGGTAATAAAGCGTCCCTTTGTTGGATATATTTCCCGAAAATGAAACGTATTTTTGCGAGTTTTTCCCCCTCTTTTTTTCCCTCACAACGAAAAAGCTTAAATTGGAGGACTATATAGCAGTGGTACAGACGGAGAGGCAGACAAAAGCGTTCATTTTCCTTTTGGAAATTTTTTTTATTTTTATTCCTAAAATGAACTAAAACTAGTTTTATGCCGCTCCTTAAAACTAAAAAAAATTTTCAATCATTCGTTAAACATGATTGACGATCGTTTGGCACTTCGTGGGCAGATGCGAGTGACAAAGAAGGGTTAAAACGATGTGATCGGGTAAAACAGTTGACTCGTTTTTGGTTAAAATATATTTAAAATAATTGGTACAACTTGTTTATAATTTTTGTGTATATATTTCAACTAAAATCAGATGGTGATATTAAATTTTAACATTCACTATATAATAGGTCTCCATTTGTATAAAATAACACTAAGCGTTTCGTTTGGGTGATTGTAATATGTTACTTTATATAAATGGATTTGACGTTCATAACATTTTTAAGTTTCATATTAGAAACAAAGTACATGTATTTTCACGTGTTATAAGTGTACATAAGTTACAAACACAGCGCAGGTACATATATATTTTTAACTTACACAACAAAATATTAGATAATATATATTTTATAAATTTATTTTTTTATATATATATTTATTTGTTTGTATAAATTTGTTTAACAACTTCATAAGAGACATTCATGGAATATACTTCATAAGTTCAATACATTGAGCTTAGAGAGGAATACACATAAAGTACAATAAATTTATTTTCTGCATCAAATAAGTACCTCCTTTTCCATTCCACATCCTTTCATTTATTTGTCACATTAAAGAGATACTCATTGAATTTGTAAATAATATTTTGGGTAAATAGCGAACATGTACGGTAACTAGGTAGTAGTAGGAAAGGAACATATGAATGGATATGATTAGTATTAAATTGCGCATTTCATAGTTTGAAACACAGCATTTATTGTGATATGGAGGAAATATCACTCACAATTATTTGCGATTTCCAAAGTTATTAAAGGCAAATTACGACCTTGCACAAGTACGTGTAAATGTCAATGGAAGTTCTAATGCAGTTTTTTGTAAAAAATAGACAGTACAATTAGAAATCCCTAATTTAAGAATACACAGTTGACGAGTGTAGTGTAAATGTTTTTAAAAATGACGAGATGATTGTCTGAATATGTGGGGACTATAAGGACATTAATCATAAGCAATTTTCCATGTCAGTGATTTAGTACTTAGGCTCCTATCCTTCGATATAATCAGGCCTTTAAGTTTAATATAAATTCGTGAATATAGTTTTTGAGATCGTGTGTAAGCGTGACTGGTGCCGTCTCGTAGGGTATACCTTTTTAATTTAAATAATTGACTAACTATACGATAAGAAATATATCACCTCTACTTTTAAAGCCTATATAATCATTTTAATAAATCTATACAGCTAATAATTCTAAATTATTTTTGTTTGTACTACTTATTCCTTATAATGTAATTTGGTAACGGAAGAGTTTAAGTAAAAAAAGTTTACAAAATTAGTATAAATTGGTGCGTTCTTCTTTGAAGCAGTAACTTAGACCCATATTTTTAATACTAGCAAATGGTACTTGTTTCAGTTTTCTCTCTCATATACATTCATTTGGTACACTGAAGTATTTAATATAATATACCTAATGGTGTCACCGACAGGTGTAGGTATTATGTATTCATTGAGCACTTTATCGCAAGGTATGCCAGCATGCTACCGCTTTTCTTGGACTTTGCATCATGTCTTGCCAATGATCCTTTTCTGCACCCGATTCGCGTGATCCAATAAGACAACATCCTATCAGTGGATTATTTGATATTAAGTCACTTCCTTGGTCGATTACGCAAACCTTTAACAAATTATAGAAATTACGCAACACGGTAATTTGAGTCAGATATATAAATTATCCAATTTTGTTTTGTAATATCTAATGCATCCTTTTGATAACTTGTACAAGTGGAATCAAATTTATAAACCAACTACCTAATGTTATTGGTAAATTAATCATTGCGCAACATGTCCAGTGGGGTTTTTGAATAAATGAACTATGTGAACTTTGACACAAAAAAGACAAGAACTAAGAACTAAAAACAACTCGTTTTGATGAAAAAGTCTTGATGGTCCACAAATAATTTTTCTTGAACAATTGTATTCCGATTTATTGCCTTCCCGAGTTTTTCTGCTCCTGCAACATTTTACCCGCGGTCATTTTCCCGACGCAAAAATCTGCCTATATCCATGTTATATTGTATGTCTATGACTTTAATTAAAATATAAACTCTGAAATTGAGAATTGTTGTTCTAATAAATTTGGATATGAGAAAGTTTTAATTACTGAGGTTATGACTGATAGAAAACAAATCATGGAAAAATTGAAAACATTATATCTAATTTAAAAACCTTTATAAATTTCCAATAAAACTCAATACCGAATGATCCCCGAGATCTTCACGCATCCATCATTTTTACAAAACACCTTTAGGGGCTGATTCTGTCCCACTCGATCAGCATAGCTTGTAAAACAATTTTTAATTCGGTATTAGTTTTAATTTTATTTTTATTTTTTTAAGTGCCTACATACAAAATTTCATTGGCCTTAAAAGTTCATTAAAATGTGCATCAAATTTACCGCTCATCATGCAATATATGGTTGGGCCAAATTATTAAAGATGAGACAATGTTTTCATCTAGCTCAACCGAACAGAAATGAAGTTTTCGTTTACTTGCGTTTATTTCAAAATCAGATTCGTTTGAGGACTACAATCTATGGATTCTGCTGGGCCTGCCTGTTGTACGCCTCTCTGTGGCCCAATCTGTTTGATTTTATGTGTCACATTTCGCTTGACTGTTCGATAATAATCAATCTTCAGTTTCTGGTGCCGAAAGGAATGTTCGTGCATGAACTGCATCTTCCTAAGCTTTTTGCGTTGCAAATCCTAGTGAAATTCACAAAATGATACAATAATCGTGCTTAACACGGAGCATCTTGCGTTAAAAACCTTACAAGTTAGTCAAATTGAGTTCGTATCGACAATTAAACTGCCGTTTTTGCACATTTTAAAAGATAAAATGAATTTTTAGCCAAATAGAACGAACCAGTGAACCAGAAGGTAACCTAAATCATGTCTTTCATTCTCGGTTTAATTGAGCCAGCGCCCTGTGTGAGGCAGTGGGTACATTTAAATGCAAAACAGACCGTTGAACCCCTCAACGAAAAAAAAGGTGATTGAAGATTTTCCTTTTCGTATATAATAATATAATTAAAAACTTTTTATACCTCGATAGCGGCGTTGGAAAGATTCGAAGAGGACAGACTAAAGCTTAAAGCTTCGTTCCAAACGGGATTACGTGTATTTTTCCTAGCGGCGGTTTTCTTCTTCTTGACACGTTTTCCACTAACAAGTAGGTACACTTTAACAATTGGATCTGAAAATAAACATTTATTTATTCGCAAATTTCTGTTTAACTGTTTGTATAGGAATTCGTACCTACGTTCTCCTTATCCGAAGGTAAAAATAAATTTCTGGCTTTTAATAATACAACCGTTAATCTTTCGGCGGACGGAAGATAGCTAAGTGACAATAATACCTCTTGAATCTCTTCGGGCGGTTTTTTATTTTTAATAATTTCACCCCACACCTCAATATTGGAGGTTACATCGTACTCTTCCATACTCATTCTAACTTCCCCGATAATATCGTTGCGCGAAAAACGGTCGTAATCGAACACTTGGAGGACTAACGTTTTATATTGTAGATCGTCGTGTGAAACGGGGAATTTGAAATGTTGGTCGAAAAAGGGATTTGGATCGTTTCTATGTATTGTTGTTTGTCGCTTTCGCGAATCGACTTCAGGGATGAGAGATAACTTTACGTACGGATCGTTGAAGCCGCCTTGATCGCTTCCGGCTAAATCGTGAGCTGTAATCAATTGGGGAATATTTATACATTCAAATAAGGTTCCTTAACTTACCTTCAATTAAATGTACCGTCAAATCGCTTCTATCAAAATCGTATTTCACTCTAAAATGCAGTCTTCCCATGTTAATACCGGAGCGCGGGCTGCCGCCGCTTAGAAATAGTGGACCATCTTGTCGGGTGTAGAGATCAGGCTGAATGGCACCTAGAGGACTGGCGGGTGGTGCCGGACCTCCACTGTCAGGCGTATGCGATCTTGGTGGTATCAGCAAAGGGGACAGGCACCTTCCCATGTTTGTAGTCCGTGGAGACGCAAGGGCTGGTGAATTACATGTTGAACTAGCCGATCCACCGGTTAGCGAAGTTAAGCTCGATTGCGAAGGTGAGGGTGTTCGAAGCTCGCCCCCAACTGAAACAACCCCCGTTGAAGACGTAGATCTGATGTCTAAGGAAGCCGTTCTAAGTGGAGATGGCGATCTGCTGGTATTGTTAAGAGGGTAACTAGATGAATGGGTAGCTTCCTGATGTGGTAGCACTCTAGCCCGTCCGTCGGGCGCATAGGTGCGTATTTGCGGAGACGATCCACGATGACCCTAGGAAATATACTTTGAATTATCCGCAAAAAAAGCGCAGATTTCTCACCTGACGCGACGCACTACTTTCTAAACTACTTTGTGAAGACACACTTGGAGTTCTACATAAAGGCGGCTGTCCTCCTGGATAAGATTTTGATTGATATGGCAAGGCCGGAACGTGTGATGTGTTCTGACATACTTCTAAAGGAGTTTTTAAAAGTTCTGCGGTCAGCGCATTAGAAGACACATTTTGCGGTGGTTGAATTTTATGTTGTTCTTTTGCTACATTAAATTCCTGAAAAACAAAGAACCGTTTTACTGGTGGTGACCTACTTTAAGGTGGAAATGAAATCGATAAATACCAAAGTGTTTATATTTCATATTCATTCAGATCTGTAAATTATGTATCCATTGAAGTGCGCGACAAAAGAAGAAATTAATGACATCGCGAAGTGATCGTTCTTACTTATACTACAGATTTAAGAGTGTTTAAATCTGTGCTTATACTGCATTCACAATGACTGAGTATCACACATAATGATTTTTACTATATTTTCAACGGACTTACTGTTAACTGTTTGTAGTAACATTGAATGAAATAATTAAAACAACCAAACCAAAATAGATAATCAAAATCATAATGTCACGTCAAAAACTAACGAAGTATGAACGCTATAATTAAAAAACAATCTAATTGAAATAGGTAAGAGAGCTTCGTATTAAAACATTTTGGCACAGCTCCTATTATAGACCGGGAGGCAGCGTACATAGTAACTAAACCATAAGCGACAAAAAATTCGACAATACAGGCTGAAAGTACGTTGAAAACTAGTAATAAAATCACCAGTCTGCCAGTCGTAAGAGGCAGCATTAACTTGAGGGCGGCGCTGAAAAGTGATTCTTTTGGAGATCAACTAAATTACTAAACTATATAAGGGCCACGGAAAAGATTTATGTCCAGAAATGCCATTTTTCCCATAGTTTTCAAATACGCTATGGCAGACGATATCAAGTGCAGCATTGGGGGCGACAGACGGCCCCCAATGTAGAGAAAAACACCCCTGAACTAAACCATGAGGGCCGTATAAAAATTATGCATTAAAAATTCCTCTTTTTGTCACTACTTTAAAATATATCCTGGCAGACGATATTAAGTGTAGTTTTAATAGTGGCAGACGTCTTAGAAGTTAGGTACCTATAGTAAATCCCTGTGAGTGCGAGCGTGTGAGAGATAAGCGCGCGAGAGCATAACGAACAGAGAGAGCGATAGGATACTGATTATTGAGATCTTTCAAACCATTTGATTCTAAACTTCTCATTCACATAGTTCCATCCACTTCAATCAGACGGATTGTAGAAACTCAGACATTTTTCGGTGGCATGCGCTCAAATTGCGATGAACTAAACCATGAGAACCATACACAAGTCATACATCCGGTAAATGCGTGAGAACCCGGTAACGCGTTACCCTGCGCGTTACACACATCAACATCCAAATTCACGAACATCACTCGAAGATTTATGAGTTTCTGTGTGTTATTGGAAAAGAGACCTACTTCCATCTATACCTTGATGGTATTACATTTCCCAAAGCAATAACAGCAATATCCATATCGGAAGCGGTAATAATGACTTCGCTGCTTGTTGGTAGTTTACCAAGATGGTAAATTATTCGAGAATCTGCCTCTTAGTGGCTGCAGCACAATTCAGTTTTTACCACATCATCTTCCCTTGTCACAAATTTATAGCACTTATCTTCATATGTGGCAAACACAACTTTCCTTCCAAGTAAAGCACAACAGGTCTTTTTTGACTATGAACGGTATAAGTAATCTATAAAAGAGGCTTTGAGCTATCATTGCGAAGTGGTTTTATGAAATTTGAAGGCTGCTTCTGAGTGGAAACAGAAATTGAGTAGGATTGTAATCTTTCCTGATTTTGATCCCAAGGATCATGTTCTGCATCCTTCATGGAAGGGGTAACTATCTGTCAAAAGTAAGATTAACTTCTCTCGCTGACACAGCACAAATCTTGCCGAGGATGTGTTCAGAAAATCGCTCAAAGGTTTACCAGAGATCTTTAAAAAGATGCAAAAAAAAAATAATCAATCGATTAAAACAACATCTACAACTGGATATGGACTAGGAGCACTTGGAGAATCATACTTCTGAAAAAGTCTCAGCAAAACAAACTTGACTATTTTAATCATCGATCCATCAATGTTGCATAGAGACAACGGCACTGGAGTCAGAAGAAAGTTTAGAACGAGCTGAAGGTCTATCTTCTTTTCTCTTCAGGTTTTCTGTTTCTCAGTGTGAAAAGAATTCAAGAAATACCGACAATCTTATCGCGAAATAAACAATTTATTATTTTCCCTCATTTAATTCGTTTGGTAACTCCAAGCGGTGCGTAAATCTATACCTATCTCTGTTCGTTATGCTCTCGCGCGCTTATCTCTCACACGCTCGCACTCGCTGGGATTTACTATACCTAAATTTTTTAACTTCTAAGACGTCTGCCACTATTAAAGCTACACTTAATATCGTCTGCCAGGATATATTTTAAAGCAGTGACAAAAAGAGGAATTTTTTATGTATAATTTTTATACGGTCCTCATGGTTTAGTTCAGGGGTGTTTTTCCCTACATTGAAGGGCGTCTTTCGCTACCAACGCTGCATTTGAAATCGTCTGCCATAGCATATTTGAAAACTATGGAAAAAATGTGATTTCTTGATACAAATCTTTTCCGTGACCCTTATAGTTTGGTAATTTAGTTGATCACCTAAAGAAGTCACCTATTCAGCGCCGCCCCAAGTTAATGCTGCCACTTACGACTGGCAGACGAGTGATTTTATTATTAGTTTTCAACGTACTTTCAGCCTGTATTGTGGAATTTTTTGTCGCGTATGGTTTAGTTACTATGTATGTACGCTGTGTCCCGGTCTATTATGACAAAGAGATATTTATTTCTTTGAAACCCGGGGTGTTCAATTTAATCGGTTCCAAGTTTTTAAATTTTCTACACGGAATTTTAATCAGCACACAACCTTCCCACTTTAACCTATAGTCTTTTTATTCAATACTAACAAAGCAACGATCTAGTACAGTATCTACAGCATCTATTACGAAACAGCGAAATCTGCTTTCGAGAACAAGTAACAATTTGCCTTATGAGGCTCTTTGTTAAAGCTTTACATCGAAAACACTCGGAGGAAAATGGGGTGGTTTTCGTTATGCTATTGTTCCTCATAAAAGCAAGAAATCAAAGCATAATATGCAAAGACAGAAACTGAGCAATTATTGTTTCAAATTGTATATACCTACACAGAAACGTGCAGAACCTTCGCTATCCTTTAGTAAGTAATTATTTCCAGTTCGGCAGTTACTTTTTAATTAAGGCCAATGGTAAAAATGTCCCAAGAGTGACTTATTTGTAGACATTTGCTTTGCAACGAATTTTTACTCGTTTTCTTTACATGAGAGCTTTCCGCTTTAAGTGAACCCTCCACATCTAATCTGAACAGACGAGCCCTTCAAGTATCAGTATAGATACATTGAAAATATTTCTGTTAGTTCGAATTACAAGTTACAACGCTTCAATAGAAAATGTCAAGTGGCGTCATTCAATTCGAGGTTTAATATGACAGAGTTGAAATTTATTTATATAATTCCAAATGTGATTCTACATTCACCGGTACTTTACAACGTAAAGGTCACAGTGACTCAATTAAGTTGTTATCCCGTAAGTTTAAGGATCATTTGAAGCTATTTGGTTAATTTTAAAAAAGCTCCGAATCCTAATGCGTACGTGCCGAGCACGAAGTTGTCCGACTGGATAGTGGATTATTTCGATAATGAAGAAGTAAAAAACAAGATGTGACGGGTGGCTGTCTCGATGGTAACACAGAACACGACGTTTCTTTACATTCTCCTATGTGTTGTGTTGTGGCTTTGTCATACGAATAGATATTTCCCTCTGTAGAGTCGGGAAAGGATAACCTTACCGCAGAGAACTCTGCGTGTCGCAAGAGGCGACTAAGTAAATGCATGTCAACCAGTGATCACGAGGGATTGGATGTAAGATCAAGCACGCCGAATTTGGGACTTTTTTAATTGTAATTTTACTAACGTAGCCAAGGGTTGAAGTTCGCGACGTTTTTTCTTCCATCAACTTTTAGCTTGCACTTGCAAGCAAACTTAATTTTTTAATTGGAAATCCCATTTCTTCTGTTCACAAATGCTGTGATTTTACATACATAATTAAAGGCACTTTGTAATTACCAGGATAATTACATTCATACGCAAGCGCAGAAAGGCCATGTAAGTTATTTTTCCGGAGTAACTGATGTCAATTTACACATTTGTTTTAGTATTCAAAGGAGCTGCCAGAACTTTCTGGGAATTTACAGATCTATCTGCAATTTTACAGCTCTTTTTGGAAATTTATTTGGGGATTAATGTAGAGGTTGTCTAACGACGAACTGAGTCGATTATTATATCTGAAAGTTGTACATTCAATAATCCCGGACCACCTAGAATATTTTCAGCTTTGTATACTTCCGGTTACACCAGAAATTGACTCACACATCGTTATTTTAAATAACATGACCTACTTTCTGCTCATTTTCTTAATCGTGTAAAATTTGGAGAATTTTTGATATAGGAGACTAATTTTCCTAAATCGACTACTTTTGAATTTCTCCTGAAATAGAAATCTTTTTTATTTATTTGAAATCTTACGGTAATTTGGGGTTTAATTTGACAAGTAAGTTATATAGGAAAAAAATCATATTTAAAATAAATTTGAGATAAAAGTGATAAAAGAACAAGTTTTTCTGTAAGTAACTGTGTAATTTACTTTAAGAGTGGTAATTTACAAAGATTTATAAGGAATTTCCCTTTCACAATAAAATTTTTAATTTTAATTAAAAGAAAAGACGTTCAACCCCTCTTAGGAACTTGGTGAATCACTATAGAAAGACAATTTATTTTCTTGGAGAGTTTACAAAGTAATGGACCAGCACTAAACTCTTTTTGGCTCGAATGCCAACTCTTGTGTAGGATGATGTTGCTGCAAAGAGCTATACTCATATAAAATTTGATGATAGTAATGGGTATTGTATCTCAAATTGATCTCCCTCCACCCGTCACTCCTACCGTCTACCTCGTCGATATTTGTTATTGAAGAGTTCCATTAATCTCAAATTTGAAGACAACAGCCTAACACAGGCGATTTGCTTTGAACTTTGCATTTTTTTTATTATGGTAGGGATGTGGATATCTTTCTATTGTAAC